CAGTAAGGATATAGCCAGGTTGGAGTCAGTGCAGTGTAGGGCCACAAGGTTGGTGGCCGGTTTGCAGGGGATGCCGTATGAGGCAAGACTGAGGGAACTGGGTCACTTCAGACTGGAGAAGAGGAGACTCAGAGGGGATATGTTGGCGACATACAGGTATGTGAGGAGATGTCACATGGAGATGGGTAGACACCTGTTCTCCCCTGCAGAGGAAGGCAGGACACGCTCCAATGGAGCAAAGCTCAGGGAGCCAAGGTTCCATTTGGATGCCAGGAAGCACTTCCTGACAGTCAGGACCCCGAGGGTGCGGAATGGGCTTCCACAAGAGGTCGTTGAGGCTCCATCGGTGCGTGTGTTCAAGGATAGGCTGGACGTCCACATGGTGGGCATGTCGTGAGTGGAGCTGGCTGGTGCCAGAGGTCAGACGAGATGGCCCGGGAGACCCCTTCTGACTCACTCTGTTTCTATGTTTCTATGTTTCATAATATACCAATACAAAGAGATATAAAAATCCTTTCCAGATAGTACATGAGTTCCAATATCCATCCACATTTTCCTCATTGCTCAGATTATTACACATCAAATTAAAAAGTACGGTGGTAAGAATTAAACCAGAGGCCTTCCTAGTTATCTAGGGTTTCTTCTTTGCACATCTCAGAGATCTAATAAATCTGCATCAAACTAGAAACATCCATTGGAAAGTTAAATGACCCGTCACTCCCCACCCAAAATAGAGTGGTTTCTACATACTCGAGAGTCTCAATAAATATGCAGAAATACATGTTTGTTTGTTGTGAATATCAGTCCTGTGAACTTAGCAGCACATATGGAATGCTGTTGATATCCTATGGAATAGATAGTCTTGCTCAGTTACACAGATGCAAACATCCTGAATTTTTCCATTGCTTTCTGCAGGCAGCTCTTTCTTTTGCCCAAGAAGAAATAGGAAAAATGGGGAGGGGGGCTAAGGGAACTATGGTAGAGGTCAAAAAAGAAAGGCAACAAGATTGAAAGTCAACACGATTGTAACAGTTTATAGTATCCTGGAGATGAACATTAAGCTCAAAGGGCACCATAAACTCCTTCCAATCAACCACCGCCCAATATGACAGTAAGGGCTCAGATACAGATGTAGCAGTAAACCCCAATCCTAAATCTTGTGAGGCAGGAAAGAAAAAATGTCCGCAAGCCTGGCTGGGTTCCTTGAACAGCAGTTCTCCTATTATGCCATTGGGATATACTAAGACATTTTGTCATGGGTGCCCACTTATTTTTTATACTCAGCAAAGAAGCACATGAAATTATGAACAACACAATCTATAAAACACAATAATGAAACAAATGGATAAATAAAATAAGAAAGGTGACTTCATTTATCTACACAACAAGTATCTGTCATTAATTCAGCTGCCTCACATCGTTTCATAAGGTCTGCCTGAAGAACAAAAAAATTATAATAGTAAACGCAATCCTATGCATCTTTAGCCAAAAAAATAAAGTTCTACAACTCGCAGCATGGCTAGCTACCATGACTAGGAACTGTAGGGGAAATATGACAGCACTTTTCAAATACTTGAAAGGCTAGGGCCAGCATTTCTTTTCAATCATCCCAGAGATCAGCACACAGAATAATGGACTAAATTCCAGTTAGAAAAACTTTCTGAGTGTTACAGTAGTACAGAAATGGAACTGATGACCTAGGGAGGTTGAGGGCCTTTCCACACAGGAGGCATCCCAGATACAACCGGACAGCCGTCTGAGAGGAATGGTATAACCTGGAACAGGATTATGCCCTCACGCTTCAAAATAAACACATTCTCCTTAGCAGAAGGTTGACTTATTTACTAGCCCCTTTTGTAGGCTGAATTCAATATTCAGACTACAAAACTTTAGAAGATTCCATATGCAAGTTTATATCCCATTATGTATCTCATTATTATTATTTTTTGTTCATAGTGATAATGGTAACTGTACTAGATTACAGAAGAAATAAAGCTCATACATTTGCCTAAAACATTCTGCTGAATTATTAGGAGACGGTGTTAAATTTTGTGTAAACAAATGTAATGGTTTACTTTCATTTAAACAAAAAACAATAGATTACCTTTGTGAATGACATAAGCAAGTTCTGGTCAAAAAGTTTTTAAAATACTACAGCTAATTTAGGTTTGTTTTTACTTTTTTAAGTAGTAGTTTGGTCTTGATACCATACAAAAATATTGCATCATAAAATATTTATTTATTTATTTATTTATTTATTTAAAACATTTCTATGCCGCCCCCATCACAACAAAGCCTCGGGGTGGCTCACAAATATGAACCAATATGTGAGTTATTATAGTCATGTATTGCCTTGATTAGTATTATATAGTATGCATGCAAACACAAGCTAAACGTTGTATTTTCCCTCCTGATTTTCGTCATACAAACAATAAAATGTTAAGCTCAGAGCCCTGCTCAGCCAGAAAACTTTTAGGGGGACATGGGGCCCAACAGAATGAGGGAGGGCTAGAGAGGTTATAGATGAGATCTTTTGAGACATGTCACAGTGACATTTTAGTCTTTTGCAGTCACAGAGATGAAGATTTTGGAGAAGGAAGGCATCACTCTAAAGAGCAAAATGATGTTAAAAAGAAACACATTCCTGAAGTAGGCCTCTGGGAGAAGGGGTCACTATAGTGATTACAGACAGCCAGGTTTACAATAGGCATGAAGACTGCACAATGAATTGCTTGCATGGTGCAAGCACCTCAGAAAGCATATGTCTTCTGGCTGGTAGATAATGACTATCAGTTGTGAACTCACCAGCTGTGGTGAATATTAACACCAGTGACATGGGGGAAATGTAGTTGTGAAGTCCTGGAACCCAGGTGATTTTTATTTTCATTTATTTGTTGCATTAAATAGTCTTCACTAAATCATAGTCTTTACTCCAAGGAGCCCAAGGTAACATTTGTGGTCCTCGGTTACTGAAAACAACCCTGTGCTAACACTTAGGCTAAGAGTCAGTGACTGGTCCAATATCCTCCAGTTAGCTTCATGGTGGGTTTCTGGATATGTTATAAAGTGAATTACTAGTACTTGATACCCATGAAAGTTTTTTTTTTTTTTTTGTAAGAACCAAGTATTATTAGATTAAAACTGTAGCTATAAAATTGAAGTAATAACACTTACTGACTTTTTATGTAAACTTCTCACATTATGTAAATTATATAATTTTTGTATAAGGTTCCTTGGTATCTTTTTCATGTTACTTTTTCTTGTTTTTCCCTCTTTTATTTATAAAAATAAAAAATAAA